GGCTTCCTTCATAAGTTACCACCGAAAACTCCACATCACTAATCGGCTTTTCTTTTAATGTAGGCACGGTATGACGCTGACACTGTCGTTGTTCGCTGGAAGCAGATGTAGAAGACTGCTCACCAGTCGGCTGTTAATGTGTAGTTAAGTTCTCTGCCTGTGGTTAATGCTCTGATTGCAATTCAAATAGTTAGACTATCCTCACTCTTCGAACGGTATATCCAAGTCGCTTTCTGAGGATTTAATAATTTTTTTTATTTTGTATTATTTCTTAATGATATTCACAACTGTATTAAAGAAATATATTTAGTAAATTTGAACAAATGGAAATAATGACGTGAAAACACTTGCTGAGTAACTACCCAATGGTAACACTCTAATGATATGTCTACATTAGGAGATCACGGGGCCATCTTCTTTTCAGACGCCTCGGAGGGTTATCAGGAATTGAAGAGCAAGCAAGATTAGAAACGGTCGGGATGATTCTGAAGTTTACTATGGAAGGATAGGTATCTGGATTGGGCAAGATCTGAAACATTAATTCATTATGGATGGTTAAGTCATTATGGATGGTTTTATTTGTAACAAAGTAGGGAGCATTGAGGATTTTAAGAAGGATTTTGGATTGTAAGGATTGGATTCGATAGGAATTCGATGGTTTAGTAGAGCCTCATAGTTCAACTCCGTAAGTCCAAATAGGCCTTATTATAATCATGTATATGAGTTTTTTTGAAATTAATTGGTAGTTTAGAGCTTTTGTCTTGTAAGTGCTGAAGTAATCGGAAACGTCGAGCGGTTTCTTGTCGTTTCAGTCTGGTATCAGTTCACTAATTTAAAATGAGGATTTGACCCTTCTTCTTCTATCTTCCACATTTGCCTTGTCTACCTCACTAGTGCTTCATCAATACTTATTAACCCTTTTCATCAATACTTTATTATTTCCAGGGTCTTCAACGAAATTTCGTTGATCTTTAAGTTAATAATAGTAACATAGTTACCCCGTCAAATTTCCCACATTTACGTTTTCATATGCTACAATTGAAATAATTATCTTACAGATACTAAAAAATGGAAAAACAATCTAGATTAAATAGACAACAAAAAATTAACTTGATCGATGTTTTGTCAATACTATGAAACTGAGGCCAGGCGAAGTTAAAACAGGTGAGTAAATGTACCAGGATCAGTAATAACTGGAATTCTTGGATCTCACAACAGGTTACGCCACTGGATGATATGAATCAATTGTCGGAAATAATTAAGGCTTTCCTGAAAACTAATGCACCACATCCATCTCATCGCATCAACACGAATCCCGCAATAGCGATTCCAATTTAAAAAACGTGATGTGACAATGTAATCACGCATGTTCAAAGTTACCCTGTTATATGGTATTAAATGGAATTCGATGAAATTGATATTGGTAATTTCTATACTATTGTCCATATTTCATCCAACTTTGGGCCTAAGTCTAAGTAATGTCTAAGATGCCTTTAATTTTAGCCGAATCGAACGTGTGGTTTTAGGATATACAGATGCATAAAGGAAAACACGCGTGGGTATATATAGGAGAATGCAGTGGACGGAATTCGGTAAAATCTATACTACATCCTATTCTTAAGAATATATACCTTCTAGCTTTGACCTAATTCGAACGAGTTCTGAAATATTGGCATATCTAAAAAAATACGTTCGTAGGCAGATGTACAGGCTTTAATTTAATAAAATTGATATGGGACCATCTAGGTACCAACCCACATAATTCCTGAAATTTTTATGAAAATCGGATAAACGATGGTATATGATTAGTGTTGCCCAAAATCGGTCTTGTTCTTGCACTTTGCAAGACCAAGACCAAGGCCGCCTAACTGTTACAAGACCAAGACCAGGACTGGTAAAAAAAACAAACGATCTTTTAAATAAAAATTAAGGCAAAATAATTACTAATAGTTACTATATGTTAATAATTGGTATAACCAATATACTTTTGCATTTAACTCCTCTAATTTTTTATTTGGGCGTAGTTAGGTTTCTCCTATCTTAAAAATTACAGTAATATCTCTATAGCAATAAGCTAATAAGTAACTGCAAGACTGTTGCTATATTCTTTCGCAAGACCAAGACCATGACCAAGACTGAGTTTGCAAGACCAAGACTCGTTTCGGTCTCGCATTTGGGCAACACTATATATGATTGACTACAGACCGACACCGAACCAAATTTGATTCTTGATATCTAATACGTAAAACGCAAGCGGAAATTTTCGATAACTTCGGTAGTTAAGAAGCCGAAAATGCATTGTTTGCCGATTTTATTATTTTTTTTTCAAACCTTCATACTTAAGTTGGGATTGAGGTGCCAATGGCTCCTTTGTAACGGGGTTAGCTCCGATTGGAATCCTTATGTCAGACTGTCGCTTGCAAGGGATCATACTTGGAGAGTATGGTGTCGAAGACCTAATTGGCTGGTATGTTTGCCAACAGCGGGGCCTAATAGGACCCCAGCGGGCAGTGGCCAAAGGGGCCGCCCCCCAACCACATGGCGGCGCAGGCTTCACGATTTCATGGGGCACCTGGTTCAGCACACAGCACATGTTCCTCCGGCGATAATTCGATTAGTCCTAGCGGCTCCTTTTCCCGCTACAGCTATGCCACTAGTCTCAGTAACGCAAAAGCCAACAACCGATTTGTTAAAATCTAACATGTTATCAAAACAACATAAAGCTTTTCTAACTAATTTTCTGCATAGGTTGTTTGAAGTCAAAGTTGTCTTCGTAGGAGGTAGCGAATATTTTAGGAATAACGTTCCAAGTACGGATAATCAAACCAACTTTAACTTATAATTAAGAAGGTATATTTATCAAAGGATTACATCCTATCATTATCGTCCTCAGTTGTTTTCAGTAACAAGTAACTCAATATCCATAATTTTTACTTTCATTTACCTATGTAAGTAATATATAGTATCGTAATATATAGCGATCTTGAAAATATTTGAATCCGAGTTTTAACGGAAGTCCCGAAAAATGGTCTGTGCGTCTGTGTATGTTAGCAGTCTAGCTCAAAAACGAAAAGTTGTAAGAAACTGATATTACGTATTTAAGATAGGTATATGCCTTAGATGTGACAGCAACTTTTTCTTCAAGATCGTCTAACCGGAAGTGCCACTTTATATTAACGATGAAACACATTTTTACAATTTTCTGAAAGACGGCTCTAACGATTTTGATTAAACTCGGTGTATCATTGTATAATTAAGTGGTATTTAAATTCAACACTCTCCTTAGGTCTTATCCCCATTTATGTCACTTTACAGGGTTTAAATACCCAATGTTCATATACGTCTTCCTCTAAAGTACCTTTAATATGGTTTATTTTAAATAATTAATCATCTCATATTATTAAAAGTTACGAAAAAATGTTAAATATAACTTTTTAATGAATTTGATAATTGAATAAAGGATAAAAAAGTAAAAATGCTTATCCAGATCGAAAATGTATCTCCGGAATTACTAGTCAGAATGTATACCTATAATATATCGTTAGAAAGCTGAGAATTTTAGAAAAAAACAATATATAGTTGTAGAAGGTGAAGGAGCGTGGCGAAAATATCATAAATAATAATTCCAGAAGATTAACATTATTTAACGTAAATCACATGTTTTCAAGGATATTAAATAAAATTTTCTTAGTATATGAGAACTTTTAATTTTTTTTCTAAGATAGAAAAAAAAAGTACCGAATCAGGCCAATGCCATTGTTTTAAATACTATTTCCATGTACTTGTATGAAAGAAGAAGTGAAATATTAAAATATTTCATGGATATTTTTATAACCTCAAATATATTTACTACAGAGTATTAACTCTAGATAAGATATTATATTTGAATAATTAGGTACCTATCTGCCATTTATTCCAAAAAGTAATCAAGTAACCTTTTATAAAATTAAATTAGTGAATAATTTGATGGATTTTCTCTTTGTAAAATCCCAACATTATCCACTTACAATTAGTGTGAAAACTTTTGACCTATCCATGGCAGGCAATGAAGATCTCGTAATTTCGTTTCAGTACACTTTACAAATGAAAATAACAGGTTAATAACTAATAGTCCTACCATCCATAATCATTTATAGGTTAAATATTCAGATATATTTTCAAACCTCTGTAGGCATATATGAGCCCTTTCGGTTGACAGAATGACTAACTCCAATTCCAAAATTCTTTATTATTAAATTTATTGATGTTTCTAATGGAAAAATTTACACCTTTATTCACAGTTCTATATTTCAACAATACAATCAGCAACTCCGGAATCAACCTACTCACTGTCTGTAAAGATAACTTTTGCAGCTAGAAATATCACTAATATGACATTACACAAAAATCTTGAAATTGGAGATAGTTGTTCTGCCAACTGAGAGGCTCAGAGATCGAAGTTGTTCTGGTTTATAAAAGCAGATGGAGTGACTACATTTTTATTGCCTACTGTTGACTTTTTTTAATTAGAATGATCACAATGATTGGTTATCTGTAAGCTTTAAGATTTAGCTCCGTTTAAAACGCACTTCAAAAAATTTATAAGAGCCCAGCATTGCCAGAAAATAATTTCTATTCAAAGTAGAGCGGTAAGTGAGAGTTGTGTGTTGCGCGCACCAGATTTGTAGTCTTACTAAAACCAGTCATGCGTTTTCTGGCTGATTAATCAAATTTCTTGTAGGTAATTTTCTTATCAGTTCAAGCATCTATCACAAGCTTCTGTGAAAGCGTCTAATACTGAACATTTTCTTGAAATTATTAAACACTTCAATGGTATTCTATTCATCAAATAAGAAAAAGCAGTCTTAGTTTTTAGTTCCCATGCTTTGATACTACAGAATTTAGGAGAAAAGATGAATTATCTAGGATGGTAAACTTGACAAAATTTCTATCTGGTTGGAGTAACAACTGTATTCACAACTGTTTTTAAATTTTTAATAAAATATCTAAACAATGGAATAAACAATTCTCTGAAAAACGTTTTACGTTGAGTTTAGATTGATCTAGTTTGACCAAGATGGAGCCCAAAATGAATGTTAATGATTGTAATGTCCGTTCTACTGAGAAGGATCCGAGGGCTAACTGCTTCGGTGAGTGTTTAAAATATTGACCTTCATAAAAAAAAAACTCTTCTATCAATATACAGTTGAAAATATATTTTATTATTAATTATAACGGCAGTGAAAAAAAAATGTTTGTGTTAAGGTATCACAATTGGGTACTTGGATAAAGAAAATAAATTGCATAAATTTGAGCTGCAATGAAATTCACATGATGAATGTATTTAAGATTGAGATGGCACTACTTAAATAATAAAAAATGTTCACGTTTATCTAAAATCTCCAGAAGGTGTGGTGGGTACTGGAGGAGTGAACGTCACGATCGTGGTGTATACAGGCTGCCAAACACGATATTCTCAAAGAGTTTCCGATTTCCATTTAATAAATATCCATATATATATATATATATATATATATATATATATATATATATATATATATATATATATATATATATATATATATATATATATATATGGGAGTGGGGTAGCTCAGTGGTAGGATACTAAGCTTCCAATGCTAAAGGTCCCATGTTCGAACCCCGGCTCATAGCAGAAAATTTATTTATCTGTGTAGGTAGACCCTCCTGGAGCACACCCAGCCTCTATAAAGTGGGCACCCTTAATTAAATAATTAATTAAAGGGGAAAACCTGGCGGTTGAGCGAGATCTCGGTCACATCACCTCCTTGCACAACCGTTGACCTTGAAACAGTGCTTTCCCTAAATAGTACTGAACCCAAGACCCTTCATGGGTTGTAGTGATACAGGTTTTTTATTTATTTATTTTTTTTTTAAATATACATATATAAGAGCTAATAAAATAAATTTTAAACAAAATATATTTATTTGGAGAAAAAACGGAATGATGTTTCTTGAGTAGAAGTATTGAAACTGGAAACACTATTCAGAGCTAAAAGATATAAGATACCCAATGGTATGAGCTGGCAGAATATGACTTAGGCTTGTCTCCACTCTCGTGACGTAACTCCGTCCCTACCACTTTTCATTAATACTGGATTATTAAAAAAAAAAAAAAAAAATAATAAATACAACCCGTACCACTACTACAACCTATGAAAAGTCTTCGTGGGTTCAGTACTATTTTGGAAAGGTACTATTTCAAGGCCAATGTGTGCAGGGAGGAAATCGGGCCAGGATCAGGCTCAACCACCAGGGTGTTCCGATAATTAATTATTTTAATTATGGATATCCACTGTGTAGAGGCTGGGTGTGCTCCAGGAAAGTCTCCCTACCTATGACCGATGAAACAGAATAAATATTTTATCTGCCATGAGCCGAGATTCAAACCTGGGACCTCCAGCATTGGAAGTCAGTGCCATACCATGGATCTACCTCACTATCTACACTGAGAGCCTTCTAGCGCTGGGTTATTATTTTTGCAAAAATGCTTCTGAAAAATTCGGGACTGCTTGTATTTTTTTAAAGAAATATTTAACGGAGAATAAAAATTGATAATTGATGCAAGGACCCAATCCATTCGTCCATATCTCCATTCTTTATATTTTGTCATTCAACTTCACTAATTTCTCCATCTCTTCAATTATCAGTCTTCTATATTTATGTAAAAACTTTTTTATTCTTCTTTTTTTTTTTATATATATGTTTTCATTTTTAAGAAGTAGGTTGTTACTATTTCTTTGCAATTATTTTCATCGTTTATTGGTGCTTAGAACTTATAATATATATATATATATATATATATATATATATATATATATATATATTTATATTATAAGGTTACGTTTCTATTTCATTGAATATTTAATAGTTGACCGTTGCATTATAAAGCTCCTTCCTTTGGGATCCGGGGTGGCGGTCGTAAATAGGCGAATAGTGGTAAAACTATTTTATTAAAAGCCTACGTTTCGACTTTGCAGGTCTTGTTCAAGGCTAGGGAATTGTGGAAGTTACATAATATTGTGACAAAAATTATAAACAATGTGAATAAGCTTATTAAAATTATAAGCAGTAAGTACATTAAAATAGAAACAGATTAAGCTAAGTAACAAGATCCTAAACTGAAGTAAATAGATGGTAACAATTGCTGTAGTGTAATATATAATATACGCAAATGTGAATATACTTCTACAGATCTACAGGAGAGATTGAAAGAAAAGGAAAAAGGATATAATATGAAATAATAGACATAAAGGAATTTGGAAAAAAAATAATAAAAAAAAATAAATAAGTAAATAAAATTAGAAGAATAAAAAGACTTACAGGTGTGTTCAGCTAGGAGTTTCACTTAGAATTGGAAAATCAGGGTAAGGACAGGTATTGGGGAATTCGCTGACTTGTATGGGTAATGGGGGAAACCTAGAAAATTCCAGTATCTAAAATTTGAAGGTATGGATGGATACAAGAGAAAAAATACTATATCTATGAAATATCAAATTATAAATATATACATGTACATATAAAATAGAATTAAGAGATTATAGATAAAGGATGCAATGTAAATAAAAACAAAAATGAAAAAAGTAAAATGTACATAGATGTAATATATATGTAGAAATAAGAGACTAATATAAATAAAAAAGACTCATTTCGACTCTGTTCCTAACTTTGAAAAGAGACTCATTTCCGAATCCATCCATATTCCCATGGAATAGAATCCTGTTAATCATAAAGTAGATAAAAATTGCACTTCTTTAACACATATACACATTTTAAATCTTATAAGTGAAAGATAACTTATATATTACATCTTATTATTTTTATCTACTTTCAACTTTTATTGATTAATTCAATTTTAGTTGTATATTTACATTCTACATCAATGTATGATCATCCGTTTTCACTTTTTATTCATTTTACTATTTAACCTTATGTCATTATTATCAATATTATCTAATATTTAAATGTAATTTTCTTACATATGTACAACCAAATATGGTTATAATGATTCATATTTTTTCACCTCTCTATACTTCTAAGTTAGTTCAGCAATGTATGGTCTCTTATTTCTATTTTACTTCTATGTACATTTTATTTCTTACATTTTTGTTTTTATTCACATTGTATCCTTTATCTATAATCTCTTAATTCTATTTTATATGTATATGTATATATTTATAATTTAATATTTCATAGATATAGTATTTTTTCCCTGGTATCCACCCATATCTTCAAATTTTAGATACTGGAATTTTCTATATTCTCCATTACCCAAACAAGTCAGCAAATTCCCCAATACCTGCCCTTACCCTGATTTTCCAATTCTAAGTGAAACTCCTAGCTGAACACATCTGTAAGTCTCTATTTTTATTCTTCTAATTATATTTACTTATTTATTTATCGTTTTCATTTCCTTTTCTTTCTCCACATTGCTTTATCGCTATTATTTCATATTATATCCTTTTTTCTTTGCTTTTAATCTTTCCTGTAGATCTGTAGAAGTATATTCCCATTTGCATACATTGTGCATTACACTACAACAGTTGTTACCATCTATTTAATTCAGTTTAGGATCTTGTTACTTTGCTTACTCTGTTTGTATTTTGATGTACTTACTGTATATAATTTTAATAAGCTTATTCACGTTGTTTATAATTTTTGTCATAATATTATGTAACTTCCACAATTCTCTATATCTTTTTGTATCTTGTTCGTTCTTGCCCCGAAGAAGACCTGCAAAAATCGGGTCGAAACCTCGGCTTTTAATAATATAGTTTTGCTACTATTCAGCCTATTTATGAACGCCACCCCGGACCATCTCCTTCGTTTCTATTTTATCTTATTACGTTGGTAAGAAAAACAAATTAAAATATTCATTTCTTGTAAAATCTATGATATTATAAACTGCGATAATATAGTGATTGGAAGATATTAATAATACACTAAAACTATTAATAATGTTATTATTATACATTAATTTATTAATTTATTAATATTATATATCATACTAATATATTAATATTGTTATTACAAACTAAATATACTATTATGAACCAACACTATTGTAATTTTAGTTAATACCATCCCAGTTAATCTTATCACATAGAATCTGCGTTAAATATTTACTTATTGTAAAATGTATCAAAAAATATTAATCGTGATGGTATAGTAATATGAAGATATTGCTGTATTATTAATAATGTTATAATAATTGTAGTTTATAATAATAACGTTCGTATATTAGTATGATATGCAATAATAATTTTTCATTAACTGTTTATTGTCATAAAGGACTCGATAAAAATTCATAATTCGAAAAAATAAATTTAGTATAAATAGCTTTATATTTAAAATTATAATCTTTAATCTTAAGTTTGTCTTTTGCAGAATGTTTCGCCGATACTCCCAGCTACAACGCCCTGACAGCTCAGTACTCCTTGAGACAGCCTCGTCCGAAATTCCTGTCCTGCTGCCCCTTCAAGAAACGATTGAGGATGGAGTTCTCTTTGAGTAGGAAGGCTCTGCAGAAGTTCATGGAGTCGAGAGGCAAAGGGCCCATAATTGATCTTCCCGATCTTAATGAAAAGTATACGCTTATTCCTCTGAGTACATAGCATTTAATGAAGATGGACTTACCGTCATTTATGGATAAGGTTTCAATTAGTAATATTTAATAATCCTCCAATCAAATGGAGTCCCATTTCCAATTGGATGGTGTCCCTAGAACAGCCTCCTGAATTTTCTGATACAGTAATATTATTTTGCCAACAAATACGAAACGATATCTTAAGTTCAAGATCCACCAAAGTTCCTTTCTAAAGAAATTGTACAAAGAATTAAACTTTTTAACAAACTGTGGCTTAAGAACTCCGGCCATTTTTCTCTATATTTACACAGCTAACGACCGTATTGTTCATTTTGTTATTACTTTTTTATTTTATCATTTTGGCTTCAAGACTAGCCAAAGCAAGTCCTATTTTGCAAATAAAATATTTTAATTGTTATTTTAAGATGGAATTACACTGGATATTTATTGAATATTTCTAGATATATGATCACTGAATGTAACTAAATATTGAATGTAACTTATATAGAACTTGAACTAGAAATTTGTTATTAATTACCCTCTATCAGGGTAAATTTATTTGTTTTTTCTTATTTTCTCTATGATAATGCGATGATCACTGCGCTACAATGAAATGAGATTCGAAACAATATTGTCCATCAGTAAATAAAAATCATTCAAATTGATATCACATGCTGATGACAATATTCAAGGGAATACCCTGTTCCAGATTACAAAGAAAATCCCGAAATGATTTTTATTTGGAAGAAAATCGAAATTTTTGTTTTTCCATAAAAACAACATTTAAAAAAACAAAACAACGATCAAATAAATTAATAATTAACGATTGATTCGCGATGTGAATCTTAATCCTTATCTTGCAGATCGGATAAGAACTCGTGATTTCGATTGGTACCAGGAATATTATATTTTTTCTCGGTTTACAGACAATTTTATAATTAATATTTTATGATTTTCATACTATTTTGATGACTTAAAAGACCCAAGTGGTAGAAAAGCCTGAATAGTGGTAAAAGCAAATAAATAAAATCCGAGGTTGTTTGTAACGCAACTAAAACCTCCTAACGCTATCTATCTGTCTTACTAGGAACTAAGAACTCCTAAAGGAAGAAATGAGACTTCAACATCACCCATAATTTTATGATTATATTGAACTGTCGGGAATAGACGCTTAACTTATGTTGTCAATAAAAAATTTATTTTATTATTATCTTCATCGGTAAATTAAGTAAATGTGATGAATATAGCAAGAATAGCAATTTTATTCGAGGCATAAAAAAAATAGTGCCAGCTGTTTTTCAAAACGAAAGAAGGCAGACATTTCCATAAGTGACGTATTATGCAAAACACGGTATGGTTTTGAAAAAGGAAAAAAAAAAAATCTCGTGTAAGTTTTTCTCAATGATCCAAGATGATCCTGGAAGTTCCCACTGCCGGAAGACTTCTTTGTGACGCCCACTTACCACATTTGACGGTTCCCATAAAATTATAGAAAGTCTCGATTGCTTACATATCTTTTATATATATGTATTTGTTATATAAGTGGAGGCAGTACTTTCTCCATCGGTGTGAAAACGTTCGGAACGGTCGTGTCAAACAACAATTTAAAAAAATAAAATAAAATATATCATTGATTTATTGCAAATAACCACTGGGTAAATTTTTTTTCTTTATATTTTCACTTTTTTATTGATAAATATTACAACCTGACTCAATTAAGGACACTTATAATAGAGTTCAGATAGCACATTCACACCATATTTGTATTATAATTATTATTATAAATAAATAACAAAATAATATACAGCAAAATGGAAAGAAAATGAAATATCATAACAAGGGAAGAAAAAATAAGAATAAAAAAAAATAAAATGTTCTAAAAATATAATATAAACATCTTAGACGCAGACATACCAATATACATTTTTAATGGAGCTAAATTTTTAAGTACGTTTTTGTGAACTCCACCTTAATTTATCGACATAGTAAGTGCATCAAAATAACACGAATCCTTTTATACATCTGAGTAGTTTCACTAAATTTAGTTCTGATTCTATAGACAGAAAGTTCATCAAAGTACCTAATGATTTAATTGTATGAAGTGTTAAGTGATGAGGCTTCACAATGAACCAGTGATACCTCGAATGAATTTAATGCTTTCAAAATAAACGAGAAGTCGTATAATTTATTTGACTTAAGAATTCAAGAATATGAAAAAAGTGTAAGCAGGAAAGCTCTTTCCAAATGGTCGTGTTTCGCATTACATGAACAGAATTTTAAAATAATTGAACTTTAGCATTACTTTTTTGAGTTCTGTTTTTTAACATTTTATAATTTGTTTTCAAATTTAATTTTCCCATATTACGATTTTTTGATGATATTTTATATTTACAATGGAGTATATTTAATAGTGATGTTAGAAAACGAAGAAACTAGGGAATCTGATGAAACAATAGGAGAAAATGTGTGAGGAGAAAATATTTTTAAGGAGAAATAAAGTTGATATTCATTTTTCGCACCTCAAAAACCCTAAAATACGATTTTTTATAGCAACTGAAATATTAAAATTTGCTGCACGAAATATTTGTCTAGACTGGACCATTCGAAATTTTATTGATCTCTATAAAAATGTTGATTGCTTTAGAACGGCACCTCCAATCAGAACAAAAATTATTGGCTATTTTGGGATCTACATGCTCCACAGAATTGTACAAAACTGACTTCCGTAAACAAATTAGAACTAAAGATATACAATAAAAATGATTTTTAAGTTTGCCTTAATTTCGGGTTACTTAATTACTTGTTTCTTCAGCACCTAATGGTTTTTGTAATGATATATAATAACTCATTTAATACAGTAGTCAATATTTGTTTCTTATACTGCACAAAAAAAGAAAAAAAAAAAAAAAGAAATCGATTGATATATTGTAACCAAGATTAAGATAGCACTGGAAACAAAACAAATTCTAGTCTCTTTTGTTTCCTGAGCAGATGACTAATTGATATTTTAGCATGTGCATGTACTCTTACATCTTATTGTATCTTGACTATCTTTGGATGAGGCATGCCATAATATTGTATATAAATAAGTATCTTTTTTTTTTTGTTATTTGTATTGTCTTTATTACCTTAAATATCTTCCTTTTTTATCTTTAATTGTATTTAGTAATTATGTTTGAGTTCCCTCTTTTTCCTTGTATTTTATTTCTTTTTATTGTACATAATATTAATCCTGTAAATATTTCTTTTTGTAAATAGATCTTTTAACCTTTCTTGCTGCTTTATAAAAAAATATCCAACCTAACCCCTTCTCACCTGAGCTAGCATGGTAGTGTAAATATGTAATGATGGTCATTAAAGAGTAAGTACTTTCTGTTTTCTAATTTATCTCTTTAGAGATGAAAGGCTGTTAAGCCAGGCGCCCAACAAATAAAAATTGCTATGGAAAATTATATTTTTTAAAAGTTATTTTATTATCTTTTATTTCATCCTTTTTTTGGTCATATAAATAGTGGCGGCTGAAACGTGGGGCCTAGATGTATATAAAGCAGTAAATAAATGTGAATAATTAACTATAAGATAAATGAGAATGAGGTTAAGTGTAATTCAAGTTGATAAAAATTGCTTGAAGACACCAAATATCTAATTTATCTATTACAAAAAAGGTATTAACTGCATTAATTATTAAGATTAAAGTGAGTATCATTACCTACTGTACAAAATTTATGTTTTATCTATATTTTATCTTAAACGAATTTTGATATACCTTCATATATATAACTATAACTTGATTTTATGCATACATTATTGTTGTATTCAAGCAAATCTTTATATATTAGAAATATAAATGATAAGAATGAATAAGACAGTGATGAAAACATATATTTATTTATAAATATATATATGTCATTGTATAATGTCAAAAATTAACTATTGTCACTAATAGCAACGCATGAACAAACAAACTGGTTAGCAACGCATAAACAAACAAGCTGGTTAGCAACCAGGTAGATGATAAACTAAAGACTAGCAACTCGTGGTTATGCATTGTTACAATCTTATCAAAGTCACTATGCACACCTTGACTAAAGGTTAATTACTGAAACAAACTATACCTTTATTGAATTAATTTTAGTGATTTAAAAATAGTTATTTTGTCACTTTGAGTTGCCTTTAGCCTCATGAATTATTTTTAAATCTCTAATTTATTTGTTTAAGAGTACGCTATTTATTGTGTTGTTTTTCTACATGTTTATTAATTTAAGTTATTAATTTTCCTTTTTACAATTATTTCATGTCTCATCTTAGGTTAATGACATTGAACTAAATTGTAGTGAGATTAACTTATTGTAATTACCAAACACAATTATCTTTTGTCTCGCCAAATGTAACTATCTGCCCAATTCCATTACTATTTTCATTCTCTATATTTTCGATGATAGTTAATGGTAAGGAATCACGCGTAAGTTGGCTCTATCTTTTAAAAAAGGCTGAATTATTAGAATTAAAGACAATCTGGCAATTAAAAACAGCGAGTAGTAAAGTTAAAGGCTTAAGACCAGCGATTAAAGATTTCTTTTTGAGTAATCCTTGGTTGTGGTCAGTATCTTCGACGTCCTCAGAGAATACGGAAGAAAATATGACTAACAAGGAGAAGTTGGAATCAAATCAACAAGAGTCTAAACCGCAAACTGCTATGTTTAATTATAATTTCCCTCCGGGTTATTCTTTACAATTCTTAACTTCCCTAAAATTTGATAATAGTTTAAATCTCTCGGCTGACGATTTCCTTCAAAGAGTAAATGAAAAGCGTCGGACTTATAAAATACCCGATGCTGAGTTACTTAGCTATTTACCTGAATTATTCCAAGGGACACCCCTCAATTGGTGCCGTTTCTAATTAGACAATTGGAAAAAATGGGAGGATTTTGAAAGAGCCTTCCGTTCTGCATTCTTTCCTCTAGATTATCAGGAAAAGTTGAAAAAGGAAATTGATCGAAGAACTCAGGGCGACCAAGACAAAATTATGGACTACGTCATCAACATTAGAACCTTATTCAAAAAATTGAATCGGCAGAAGTCCGAAGAGGAACAAATTTCGAATATTTACGAAAATCTTTTGCTTCGATACCAATTATACATTAGGAGATCGGAAGCGACATCCTTAGTTAAATTGGTCGAATTGGGGCAAGAATTGGAGAAGATCGAAATCAGAGCCATGACTTTTCATGCACCTCCAACTAAAGATAATAGCTTTTTCCCTGAAACTGCTTATGAACCTCCTCAAGCACCTAGCATACAATTTAAGAAGAGTAGCAAGATAGCCACTGTGGAGACTACAGCCAAGCAAACCAGTAAAGATGATAAGGAAGCAGCTTCTCCAGAATCTGTTCAAAGGAAACCTGAATCCTCATCATCCACTATCTTGAATCAGAAAAAAACAGAATTGGCAACAGTACAATCCCTTTGCTGGAACTGTCTTCAAACGGGACATCGTTATCCGGAGTGTTCTAAGCCTAGAACAACCCTTTTCTGTTATAGTTGCGGCACTCGTGGTATCACCAAGAAATATTGCCCAAACTGTAAGGTGGAACCGAGAACGGACCAGTATAAGGAGGTCGCTACTGACCCTGTTTCCTCGACTAGAGACCTCAAATCTCGTGAGCTCAACAACCTTTCTACCTTATAGCTGAAGAGAGGTTATTCGTTACACTAAGTGTAGGCAAAACCAATCTTCCAGCGCTTATTGACACAGGAGCCAATCATTCGTATATCAGTTCCTTAGGACTCTCATCTTTACACCAAGAACACATCACGCTGACATCTGTTACCTCTTATCTTGTCGCGGTGGCTAACGGAGCGCGTGAGACGGTTAACGAAGCTGTTGCCTTCTTAGCCAGCGTAAACGGCCGTCAGGTTCAAATATCTTTTTATGTCCTTCCCAACCTAACAGTTCCTTGTCTTTTGGGAATGGACGCCATGAGAGCACTAGGGATAGTAATTGATGCTACTGAAGGTTCCTGGTGGTTTAAAGATATGCCTTCTTGTCAAGCTAAGTTTTCTAAGGAATCTTTGATTGGTCTTGAACAAATAGCGGGAATCAGAAGGTTGAATGAAGAATTTACAATCACCGACAATTCCGTTGGTCTTACTAATCTCGCCGAACATCACATCGATGTTAGAAAGAGCCAACCAATCATAAAGAGCAGGATCACCTCATATGTTTCTGATCAACACAAGAAATGGGACAAGTATCTAACTGAGCTGATGTTCTCCCTCAACAGTTCTCTTCATAGCTCGATGGGATACACACCAGCCTACTTAAACTTTGGGCGCGAACTTTTACCTCCTAATTTATATTTTGGTAAACCTAGTAGTGACCAAGTATTGAAATCCCTTGATAATTGTGTTTGGTCTGATCATTTAAATAGGTTGAAGGAATTTCGGAAGACAGCGGAAGCAAGTCTCAGCAGAGCTTCAGCGCGGCAAAGTAACTACTACAACCGTCAACGGAACGATGGGCTCATCCTCTCTCATCTGCTGAACGAGGATTCGCTAGCAAACTAGCTCCAAAATTTGAAGGGCCATTTCGTATTTCACACAAAAGGTCAACTAACGTGAAACCCGAAGGCACACCAGCTGGACTTGGACATGCAGCTCAACTAAAAGTCTATCACCCTGAATTGCAGCGTGAGGGGTCTCACGCTCCCGAAGAAGGGGAGGTGTAACCAAGATTAAGATAGCACTGGAAACAAAACAAATTCTAGTCTCTTTTGTTTCCTGAGCAGATGACTAATTGATATTTTAGCATGGGCATGTACTCTTACATCTTATTGTATCTTGACTATCTTTGGATGAGGCATGCCATAATATTGTATATAAATAAGTATCTTTTTTTTTTTTTGTTATTTGTATTGTCTTTATTACCTTAAATATCTTCCTTTTTTATCTTTAATTGTATTTAGTAATTATGTTTGAGTTCCCTCTTTTTCCTTGTATTTAATTTCTTTTTATTGTACATAATATTAATCCTGTAAATATTTCTTTTTGTAAATAGAACTTTTAACCTTTCTTGCTGCTTTATTAAAAAATATCGAACCTAACCCCTTCTCACCTGAGCTAGCATGGTAGAGTAAATATGTAATGATGGTCATTAAAGGGTAAGTACTTTCTGTTTTCTAATTTATCTCTTTAGAGATGAAAGGCTGTTAAGCCAGGCGCCCAACAAATAAAAATTGCTATGGAAAATTATATTTATTAAAAATTATTTTATTAGCTTTTATTTTATCCTTTTTTTTGGTCATAATATATTAACCTATAAATTCGGACAAAAATAAATAACACGAATTTGGCTGAAATTATGTAAAGTATTTTTTTTCTCGGCTCCCAGAGGCCATTGGAATGAACGCTGGGATATTTGTCAAATATTTTTCGATCTGGTAAGTAGAAGGAAATTTTTATAGTTATAGTAAATCTCAAGATCTACAAAAAAAATAAACAATGCGCCAATTTTCAACAGAGAAGTAGAAAATCCAAGTTTTGTGTTTGTTTAATCGCCATGCTTTTTGATGAATAGGAAGCGATAAATAAAGAAATAAATGATTTAAGTAAATAAAAATAACTTTACTGTAAACTAGACAAACTTTAATTAAAATTAAAATAGATTTTGTTATTGTAAGAACCATTTAAAGAGGAATTTGAGAGGCTAAACTAAATTAAGTTTTATAATCATAAATTATTCGTGATTTTGTTATTATATTTATGACCATCAAAATATACTCTAGATACCATACTTTTAGAAAAAAACTTCCTCGTTTAATTTGCTTTGAGTCCATATTAATTAAGTGGAGGTTTATTATGAAAAAAAAAGAGATTCACCTCAAGTTGTGTAAAAAAATGATATGGTTTTTTATCGGTTCCATAAAAGTATCCGTATTTTCACCACAAATGACCACACTTTATTGTTATTTATTAAAAACTTTAGTAATATTTATCAGATAAATTGGTTAGAAAACCTTGGTTTTCAGCCAGATCTCTATTATACAAACTAATCCGTATTTAGATGAGTGAAAAACTTGAAGTTTCTAGTAAAAAAAATTATGTTTAAAATAAATAAACCTGTTGATTGCTTCAATTATTTTTATGAAAAGTTTTAGGAATCGAAACATTTAGTTTTTCACTCATAAATACGGATCAATATGTATAATGGAGATATGGGTGAAAAGCACAGTTAAATAACCAATTTACCTAAAAACCACTATTTAAAAAAAATGAAGAAATAACAAGTGTATTTAGGCAATTACATTTATTATGATTCATTCAAGACCATGGACAAACAATTAATAAAAGCTTTGCCACAATTAATTGTAGTCATTTCGTTGAAAACACTGTTACTTTTAGGGGACAGGATACAAAATCAAATTATTTTTTTTTATACAACTTGAGATGAATCTTTTACCTAGATTTTGACATGATTTTTTTGAGATGATTTTTCCCATAATAAACGTTTATTCATTTGTTATTATTTTTCGTGACTCTTAATAATGAGAGATAGTTAATTATTTAAAATAGACTATATTAAAGGTACTTTAGAGGAAGACGCAAATGAACATTAGGCATTTAAGCTCGACAAAGTGACATCAATGGGGATAAGACCTAAGGAGAATGTTGAATTTAAATACCACTTAATTGTACAATGATACACCGAGTTTATAAAATCGTTAGAGCCGTTCTTGAGAAATTTGTAAAAATGTGTTTCAGCGTTGATATAAAGTGGCATTTCTGGTTAGCCGATTTTAAGGAAAAAGTTGCTGTCACATCTAAGGCATATATCTATTTTAGATACATAATGTCAGTTTGTTCGACTTTTCGTATATGAGCTAGTCTGCTAACATACACACACACACACCCACATAGCATTTTTCGAGACTCGATCATGTGGACTCACGGAACCTCAAAACGTGTATTTCCGTTGAATACTCGGATTCAAAAATGTTCACACTTCAAATACTTACACTTACTATATAATACATATATAAGTAAGTGAAGTAAAAATTGCTAATAATTTATGATTTTATTAAAAACAGAACTTAACTTAGCTTATCCGTTCAAAAGTTCTCTTTATATGGTTTTAACAATTACAAACTACATCTTTATTTGAAGTAAATTTTGTTTAACTTACAATGAAGCAACTGTTAATTACTTCAATTAAAGAATTCTTTAATTATCGCTTCCAATTAAACAAAAATCGCGAAGCTTAAAAAATAAAAAATATAGATTTTCTAATTTTCTGTTGAAAATTGGCTTATTGTTTATTTGAAATTTTTTTGTAGCTCTTGAGGTCGACTATCACTCCTATAAAAAATTACCTTTACTTACTGGTCACTCTTTATATTTTTCTGCAAATATTATTAATTTAATTAAATATGTTAATTAATTAATTTGATTTAAAAAAATAACTAATATGGATTATATCTCCGCAGCCTTAGGACGAGCTTCTCAGTTTGGGAGTTAGCAAGGAGAATGTCGGAATGGATGAAGAGATCTTTTTCTAGCTCGATGACGGAAAAGAAGGTACAATACTGTAAATATTTAAATAAACATGTCTTACCTTTCTTACATTCAACATTTTACTTAATGTTAATTTTGGAAGAAAAACAAAAAAAAAATTATAGATTCAAGATACATTTTTTACAATCAAATTTTTATTCATCTTTTTTAAAATTTAAATTCCTGCTCAACCGAAACCAATGAAAATTCGAAATTATTCCATTTTTTTAAAAAAGTTTGATTGTGTTATAATAAGAGGTCACGTAGGATTTTTTTTTTTTGCCAGATTCTCCACTCAAGATATGAGTGTATGTGGCTAAAGCGCTCTCGCTCAAACTCCACTGGCTTTTTAGCACCAGTGACGCGGTTGAGAGAGTAGCGCAGTTATCTCTTAGAGTCCTGCTTTTCCTTCTATAGTTGGAGGGAAAAGCCTGGCTTGGGGTTCTCTGCCTGATTGTATATAGGTATGGCTGTGTTTTTATATTTTTAATTTACTTATCTGTACGTTATTTTATTTTTTATTGTACATAGTTTTTTTGATTAATATTTAGTTATTATTTTACTTTCGTTAATTTTATATATTCTGTATATATATTGTGAATGTGTTCATATATCACTGTAATTATTGTCCACGAGACAGATTATTATATGGCTAAATTAAATTTAAAAAAAGAAGAAAAAAAAAAGATAATTGACAAAATTATAAAACACTCGTCAAAATCGGACCAGTTTTTGTAACGTAACATTGTATTAAATTTTATACACTGATTTTAATAATTGTTCACTTGCCCGTTTACATTGCTTTAGCTAATTAAAGAAATCGTTCTCCAATTATTTATCTTATAGGTTATCAGAAAAATTAGTCTAATTCATCTGTTTTATTATTAACGAACATATTTAAAATTGAAACAAAAAGAGGTTTAAAATCGGTTGGAAAGTCATGTGAGTGGACACACCAAAATTTTTATTGAAATAATTGGTGCCATTAGATTACCTTTACTCTACAACTCTTCCATTCGAAAGTGGAACCCTATCACCATCTTTTTTGTGAATAAAAATTTATTAAAGTGTTGTAAAATTAATTTTATAAATTTCATTGGGCTTTACTATGTTATGGCATCTAAAGCGTTTTCCAAAGATCTAAAAAAAACATGTTTGATAAATAACAATAAGTTAATAGGTAACTGGAAGACTCATGCCCAAGATTCTTCATGGTCTTGCATTTGGGCAACACTATGCTTGCATATTGCGGGCTAAATTATTTTTGTGATATGTGGGAAATTGATATCGTGATAAAAAATAAAAAATATCGTGTTTCGCACTAAAAATCTTTACTACAGTCATTGGCCGGACTTTTTGTCACTAAATAAAACTGAACAGTTGAAAAAAATAGACTAGGAATTCCCACTTCAACCGCTATTCCGTTGTACCATTCAATATACTAAAAACATTTTTCTCTTTTTTTTTTAACGTTTCTTTTTTTATATTTCTATATGTGTGAGTATTTCTAAAGACGGCGTTTTGACTTCCACGTAGGCATCCATCGTGGAGGCACCTAGTCCTGGGATAAAGGAGTTCCCCTTGACGCAGGAATCGGTGAAAAAACATATTGAAAAGGAGACAGCGAAGAAGAAGGAAGAAAAACAGGAGACGATCCTCATGCTGAAGAAAAAACAGCAGGATCTCAAAAGGCTCAAGGTAAGTGGAACATACCTATCTCGGTATATCCTTAAAAACGTTTTAATATTTTTGGGGTACTTTAAATTTTACTTAAATTTTGTACTTGGTTCAATTGATTTTGATTTTCGGATGATGATGATTAGCTAATTTAGTCTAAAAAAAATATTTTCACTTAATTTTATGAGAAAATTATTACAATATCCTTCACTGAGAATAATATATTACAAATCGTGGGGACTCTCATTAGATAACTATCGTCTCTAATGCATTAGAAGTATAAGCTTAGAACATCGAAGAAATATGATAATTCATATATGGAATATAATATTACCAAAATAATCTATTCAACGTATTTTTGACCATTGGCGAATTTTTATACTTTACTACTTCTGTTAAAGTTAAACTTTACTTTGAAAGAGATTGGCTGTTTACACTGAAAATTAAACTCTGGTTTAATATTCATGCAATAAGACCCGATTTGAGGGATGGGGCGCCTAAAATCCACGCGATGGTTCTGCGTTTTTATGATAGTTCTTTAAGTTCTTCGGTTATTAACATATATCTCACTATTTTGGATTGGAAATTTGTTATCTCTTTTAAACGATAATCACAAGCTCTTCATATTATTGGACTTCTAATTATTTAGCACTGTTATAAATTCTGGGACTTTAACTGTGGACAGGAACTAGGATTTTTTCTAGGTGGGACTAGTTTATCTTTATTTTTGCCATTAGACAATTGCCAAAAATAACTAAAATTAAGATAACATTTGTGTGAGAAAAGGGCATATGAATGTCTTTAATTAATTGGTGTACTTTCTGCATATTATATAATGACAAAAGATATGAAATATTTTATTATTGCAATTTATACATGATAGTGGTTGTCAGGACGTTTTGATTATGGGGAAACATACCCGAATCATTAAAAACTAAGAAAATAAATTGATCTATTGGAAAATCTTGGTATTGTTGAACGCTCAAAAAAAAAAATCTGGTGCGTGCAACACACAACTTTCACTTACTCTTTGAACTTCGCTCAACTTTGAATAGAAATTATTATCTGGCCATGTTGGGCTATTATAAAATTTTTGAATTGCATTTTTAACTGAGCTAAAGCTAAAAGATCATAAATCTAGCTAAATAAATCTAACAAATCATAAATACTATTAAAATAACAAAAGTCCTATTTATTATATAACCGGTTGATTATGGATTGTACGATTCGTTTATTATGGATTGTTCGATCCGTTGATTATAGATTGTTCGACTATTAGTTATTAAACTGTTATTTACCATTGCAAAGCTTATTAAAACGGAATTAAGAGATTTGTATTTTCTGTCATAGATAGGTCAAAAGTTGTCAGACTAATTGTATGTGGATTCTGTTGGAATATCGCAAAGGGAAAATTTATCAGCCGCTCATGAGTCTTGCTATCTGCCGGGTCATCGCATTGATGGCCGATTTTAAGCTGTAGCTACGGGTGCGCTGGAAAACGTTCCTCAGGTTGTTTAGCTGTCTGATCAGAACTAGGATTTGCCGTGGAGGTCTTCTCATGGCTTTGGGCTGTGGAGCAAACTTGGGAATATTCCGATTGGCTGAGGCTTGGATGGTGGTGGTGATGACATCCACAGCATTATCAACCTCTTCTCGTGTTCTGCATGGTGTAACTGCTGGTAGTGTTTCTTCCTTCCTCAACGCAAGATCCGTATCTCTTCCAGTCGGCCTTATGAAGTAGATATTTGCTCGCGGGTGGAGTGGCGGGCGTGCCCTCAAATGTGTATAGCACCGGCCGGTGATCTGAGGGTCCATACGGAAGTGCGTGGCAATCCGTAATGGTATGCAGATCTCTGGTGAGTAGCAGATCCAGCGTAGAGGTCCACTCAGGTCGGGCTCTAAATATGCTTATACATCTATGAAATGATTTTATATTTTACGTCTTGTTTCACATAATTACAATGAAATACTTTTTTTAACAATGCCAATGACTTGATTAGGTGGATTTTAAATACTGTCTACAAACGTGAAAGTATTTTTTAAAGTTTTAATTTAAAACAGTTAGTAAATTTCAAACATTTACAGTTAGTAAATTTCATTTAATTTCATGAAACATGCGATTTACGTTAAATATTATCTGTTTTCAAAAATTATTATTTATAATTTTTTTTGCCACTCTCCGATACCTTCTACAACTTATATTAGATATGGTTTTTTGTTATAAAATTCTCCGCTTTCCAATGATATATTATAAGTATACCTTCTTCCAACTTGTATTTCCGGAGATTCATTTTTGACCTGGATAAGAATTTTTTTTTCTCCTTCATTCAATTATCACATTCTTTCAAAGGTTATATTAAGCATTTTTTCGTAACTTTTAATAACGAGGATAGTTGATTATTTAAAATAAACCACATTAAAGCTACTTTAGAGAAAGACGCATATGAACATAGAGTATTTAAGCCCTGTGAAGTGAAATCAACGGGGATAAGACCTTAATTATATTAAAGGCTACTTAATTATACAATGATACACCGGAGTTTAATCAAAATCGTTAGAGCCGTTTTTGAGAAAATTGTAACAATGTGTTTCAGCGTTGATATAAAGTGGCACTTCCGGTAAGCCAATTTTAAGGAAAAAGTTGCCAGGATATCTAAGATATACATCTATCATAAATATGTAATATCAGTCCGTACGACTTTTCGGTTTCGAGCTATACTGTTCACATACACACAGACAAAAAGACCATTTTTCGGGACATGGTTATTTTGACTCAGGGAACGACCACAAAACCTGTATTTCCGTTTAAAACTCAGATTCGAAAATTTTCACGATCGCAATACTTACACGTACTATATATTTCATACAGTGTTGGGCGTTATTTAAATAAATTATTTGAAATTTTATCTAGATAACGAATAATAGATAAATTTTTATTCGTTATTTCTTATTCGACGATCTTTGGACAGATGATTATTTGTTATTTACAAATGATATGCATCATCTGTTATCTATTATTCGTTATTTAAGATGAAAATACGATTCGAATAATCATTTTTGCAATTTTAGGATTTGTTCGAAATTTAAATCTGTTGATATGTTTTACGGGGCCCTTTTTATAAAAAACTGTCAGATTTGAGATAGCGCCCCCGTCCCTCCTCCAACCAAATATTTGTATCTTTTCGGATTTAATTGATATGAGGGTCGACTATGAGGGTCGTTTTGGGGGGCAGTTTTTATGAAAATACTATCGGATTTGAGATAGCGCCCCCCTCCCGCAACGAATTTTTGTAACTTTATGGATTTAATTCATATAACTGTTGACTATTGAGTTTCGAGGTATGGTTTTTTTAAAACACTTTCAGAAAGGTGGGAGGACGCAATCTAAAATCTAATATTATTTTCATAAAAAGAGCCCCCCAAAACATATTAGTCGACCCTCATATCAATTGAATCTGAAAAGTTACAAAACGTCGGTTCGGAGGCGGGGGGGAGCGCTATTTCAAATCCGACAGTATTTTCATAAAAAGGGCCCCCAAAACATATTAGTCGAACCTCATATCAACTAAATCTGAAAAGTAATAAAAAGTCGTTTCGGGATGGGGGCGCTATTTCAAATTCGACAGAATTTTCATAAAAAGGGCCCCTGATAACATATTAGTCGACCCTCATATCAACTAAATCAGAAAAGCTACAAAAAGTCGGTTCGGAGGGGGGGGGCGCTATCTCAACTCCGACAGAATTTTCATAAAAAGGGCCTCCGAAAACATATTGGTCGACCCTCATATCAACTAAATCTGAAAAGTTACAAAAAGTCGATTCGGGGGAGAGGGGGGCGCTATTTCAAATCCGACAGAATTTTCATAAAAAGGGCCCCTGATAACATATTAGTCGACCCTCATATCAACTAAATCTAAAAAGGTACAAAACGTCGGTTCAGGGGGGAGGAGGGAGGCTCTATTTTAATTCCGACAGTATTTTCATGAAAAGAGCCCCCCAAAACATATTAGTCGACCCTCATATCAATTGAATCTGAAAAGTTACAAAACGTCGGTTCGGGGGCGAGGGGGGGGCGCTATTTCAAATCCGACAGTATTTTCATAAAAAGGGCCCCCAAAACATATTAGTGGAACCTCATATCAACTAAATCTGAAAAGTTACAAAACGTCGGTTCGGAGGCGGGGGGGGGGAGCGCTATTTCAAATCCGACAGTATTTTCATAAAAAGGGCCCCCAAAACATATTAGTCGAACCTCATATCAACTAAATCTGAAAAGTTACAAAAAGTCGTTTCGGGATGGGGGCGCTATTTCAAATCCGACAGTATTTTCATAAAAAGGGCCCCTGATAACATATTAGTCGACCCTCATATCAATTAAATCTGAAAAGCTACAAAAAGTCGGTTCGGAGGGGGGGGGGCGCTATCTCAACTCCGACAGAATTTTCATAAAAAGGGCCCTCCGAAAACATATTAGTCGATATGCATCATCTGTTATCTATTATTCGTTATTTAAGATGAAAATACGATTCGAATAATCATTTTTGCAATTTTAGGATTTGTTCGAAATTTAAATCTGTTGATATGTTTTACGGGGCCCTTTTTATAAAAAACTGTCAGATTTGAGATAGCGCCCCCGTCCCTCCTCCAACCAAATATTTGTATCTTTTCGGATTTAATTGATATGAGGGTCGACTATGAGGGTCGTTTTGGGGGGCCCTTTTTATGAAAATACTATCGGATTTGAGATAGCGCCCCCCTCCCGCAACGAATTTTTGTAACTTTATGGATTTAATTCATATAACTGTTGACTATTGAGTTTCGAGGTATGGTTTTTTTAAAACACTTTCAGAAAGCTCACGCGGGCCTCGACGTTTTGTAACTCTTCGGATTTTAAATTGCGCCCCTTCTCCTATCGACTTTTCTTGAATCCGACAGTATTTTCATAGAAAGCTCCCTCTAAAACATAACAGTTGACCCTCATATCAATTAAATCCGGAAAGTTACAAAAAAGTCGAAACGGG